TTATCGAAATATGCATGGATACTAAATTTCTAATTTCAATCAATTTCCTAGAAAATATATTAAAAATGAAAATTTTTGGAAATATCTCTTGATTCTTTTGGTTACATTTCACAAAGTAAGACGAATATACCATGTCCAATACCTCCTAGAAAGGAGAAGGTCTCCGCGTGGATCATTTTAATAGCCCGTCGTAACGAACATAAGCTGTGTGCATTAGGAAATAGTGAAACTAAAGAAAGTAAAACAATTGCTTGCACTTCTATTTTCAAGTAATTTCGCAGAAAATGCATGAAATATGAAAATTGTTGGAATCGGGCCTCAATTTTTCGTTTAAATTTCAAAAAGTATGACAAATATAATGTGTGGATAAGGGATATAAGTGACATTTGACTGAGTTTCACTAATAGAGCTTGAAAGTTCAAAGGTGGACTGTTGAAATTTAATGATAATTAATGTTAGTTAAAAAATAACAACAGTTTTCAACTATATAAGCTAAACATATATTGCTACGAATTTGTAAAAATTTATATAATATTGTGAATATTCTTTTTTATTGCGTGGCTAAATATCTGAGGCATAATCTAACGTAATTCATGAATAAATGAACGCCTTATGTATTTCCATTGGAAGGCTCGGTTAGGCGACATTTCTGTCAACTAGACGTCAAATGTGGCTAGTTGGCTTTACATTTGGCTACTTGGCGACAATTTTGTAAAGTTGGCTTTACATTTGGCTTCTTCGCAACATTTGCGGCGAAAAATTTCGGGATTTTGCCGTCAAGCTTTCTATAAATAGTAGTGTGTCTCGCCTTAGGTAAATTCAATTGCGACGTACTTATGTATATAACCCAGATTTTTTTTTACTCTAATTTTCTCATTGTAACTTTGATAGTCAGACCTAGTTTAGGCACCCCCTTTCCTTCCTCCATTTAAATTTTCTACTGAGATGAAAGAGCAAATATCCTGCACAGGATAGGCACTCTACAAAAATTTGAATAGTTAGTACTTAGGTAAATTGTGGTCTGCCTGTGACTGCATTAGTGTCCAGACACAGAGGAGCCAATCCTTTTATTTTGATTGCTATGTTCATGTTTAGGATAGTCTAAATATTATTTTATCGCATCTTTTTACAAATCAACCTAGTCACAGTGGCTCTCAAGCAGTTGTTGTTAAAAATGGTTTTAGGGAATAGTCTCAGGAATATATTTGTGTGATAGAACAATATTCAGATAATCCTAAACATGAACATAAATTAGCCAACCCTTTTATTTTGAGTGCTATCCAAAACATGCATTTATAAACAGTCAAGAACTAAAAGGATTGGCTTTTCTATTTTTATGTTTAGATAGTTTAAACATTGCTCTATCACATCAATATCGTCTTGAGACAATTCACTAAAACCATCTTTAACAACAACTGCTTGAGAATCACTGTGAATAGGCTGATTTGTAGAAAGATGAGCTAAAACAGTATTTAGACTATCCTAAGCATGAACATAGCAATCAAAATAAAAGGGTTGGCTCCTCTACGTCTGGACACTTCTGCAGTCATAGGCAAACAACTTCACTTAAAAGGAAGGACACACTCCTATTTATAAAAGGCTTGGTTACAAAGCCCCGGAATTTGTCGCACTCAAAGTAAAAGAATTTGTTAAATAAAAGAAATTTCAATATTGAATAAATAAAAAAATTTTCCATTATTTTTGACTAATATGATTTATTAAAAATAATAGAGAAAATGTAAGGCATTTTAAGAAACCTGAATAATTTGAAAGTATAACTGTGGAGTCTCATAGTACAACTACAGATTTTAATTGTACATCTATGGAATTTTTAGTACAACTTCGAAATTTTTTAGTACTACTAGGATATTTTTTAGTACATTTGTGGAATTTTTTTGCAGCAAATTTTTTGGTACAGCTGCAAAATTCCATAGTATAACTGCGGAATTTTTTTAGCTTAAATGTGGAATTTCTACCGCACAATTTTATTGTCTAATGACGAAATTTTATACTGTAACTTGAATGTTAAAGTAAAATGATTTGTTATACAAACTAAAGGTACATGTTATGTTTTGTAAAAGAAAAAAGGCTGTAACAACACTCACTTTATATATTGAATATGTAACAACATATTCAATATACAAAGAAAAATTAATAAAAATATATAACGTATAAACTGCTCTGTATCATATAAACTAAGACAATTCATTAAAACCATTTTTAACTACAACTACTTGAAAGCCACTGTAACTAGGCTGATCTGTAGAAAGATGAGCTAAAACAATATTTAGACTATCCTAAGCGGAAACATAGAAATAAAAAAAAGGGTTGGCTGCTTTATGTCTGGACACTACTGCCGTCATAGGCAGACAACTTCACTTAAACGGAAGGACACATTCGTATTTTTAGAACTCTTTTCGACGAAATCCCAGAAATTGTATCCCTCAAAATAAAAGAACTTTTCATCGAGTCGTCAAACTTGACACCAGGTCGCCAACATTGTCGCCAAGTCGACAAAAATCTTCTGCAAACAAAAAAGCTTAGTCGACAAAAAAATCGAGTATTCTACAGGAAATACATTAGACGCCATTTTATTCCTAAATTACGTTAGGAATAAAATGGCACTAAAGGGACACTAAAAACTAATTATTTAGTGCTCCTCTCAGATATTTAGACAAGCCAACTAAGAATTTTCACAAAATTATACAGTTATTTATGAATTCGTAGCAATATATACCTAGTTCATGTGTTTCTTATGCTCATTATGTCGGTCTACTAAATTGATCCGTGAGGAGATCTTCTCTATTCTAGGGGGTGTTGGACACACTCCCATTTCTAGAATGCTTGGCGATGAAATTCTAGGTTCAAAATTCTACAACGTTCCACAATTTCAACATTCAAAATAAAAGCGTCTGCTCTTGTATATCTGGAATTAAAAGTCTAGGTGATGAAGCACCCGAATTGAATCACTGACAAGGTTCCTGACTAAGGGGCAGCAATAGCCATCTGAAAGTCATAAGCCAGTCTGGATTGAAATTACCCGAATGAATTGACAAAGACAATAGATCTAAATAGGGGAAAAGGGCACCCTTGAAGATGGATAGTTGCAATTAATAGCCTCAGAGAACTTGTAATTTTCACCCACGTTCCGTTCTTTCATGCACCACAATATGCACCATGCACTTATAAGCTTTGAAATTTTGTCATGCTTTTGTTTACTTTATTCAAATGCTTAGTTTATTAAGGTTTTTCCATTATTAAAAAAATGTACTGTGCACAGGGGTTTGTTTGGTTTGGAAACCAACAAAAGGTTCTCAAGCCTTTTAAATTTTATTAGTTGGATCTACCATCAATCAATTATGAGATTTTATTAAGTCATTCTTCAATTGTGTGCTTAAGTTAAAATATATTACGAATATAATATACTTCAGATTTACTTCGTTCTGTTCTCATTTGAAAATCTGAATGGAAGAATAATCTTAGTGACATTTTAGTTAATTTAAGTAAATGAATGTTAAATATCATACATTGACAGTTGGAAATGAAGATTATGTCTTGCTTTTATTTGTTGTCTTCAAGCTTTTAAATTGCCAAAATCTATAAATCTGAATAATCCTTTAAGCTTTCTGCACCATGACATTCGGCTTTTGGAGTTTTAATTTGCTGTCTGAAGACGCTTTTATTTTAAACATAGAAATGAGCTGTTACTTAGATCCTTCAACCACTGAGATAATTGGCATTAAAAAACTTAGAAAAAAAGGAATAATATATAGTTAAATAATAACAAAATAAGAACATTTCCCTATGAATCTGAATATTCTTTTCAAAAATGTTCCTTATACCTTCATTAACTCAGCTCTTCAGTTTATACTTTTAGGTTCATTTATATTTTATAAACCATAATTATAACCAGCATTGACCATATTAAATGTTTTATATAGTTTATATTGTCAGTAATAAAATGTGCCCAGTGTTCAAGACAACTGTTTGTTCAATACACAACTTTCTTTTGTTATTTGAGAACTTTATAAGGCATTTAAATCTTTTTTCAGATTTCTGTCAATTTTTATTCATTTTAAAAGAAGTTTTGAATTTATTTTTGAATTAATTTATTTCTATTATTTTTATAATTATTTGTTTTCTCATTTGTTAAACAATTCAATGAAATATAAGGGATTTTTTGGATTTCCAATTCTTGACTTACAAAATATAAATCTCTGATTTGATTTAAAAATACGTTTCATCCCGTATTATATGTACTAAAATCTAATGCGATGGATGACAGGTCGACCTGATTACAATTTTAAACGACTTAAGTTATATCAGATTTTTTATGTTTCATAAGAAAAATTACATTTAATTAAATCTTTAAATTAAACAACAAAGAGATATATTCAAATTTATTTTTATTCAAACATTTAAAATTTCTTCAGGAATTATTTCCATCAAAATTACTATAATAAATGCTTTGGTCATTAAGTAAATTTTCAACGATTAAAAGACATGCTTATTCAAATGCACAGTAATAAAATTGTTAAAAAAACTTTAAATGGGGCAAAAAATATTCATTTTTCTTATTTGTTATTATTATTATTATATTGTTAGCGGAAGTGGAAACATTTTTGACTTGTGGATGGTGATCCAAAAAAGCGGTCAAGAGTATTAAATGTGCAACAACATTTAAAGTAATATAATTAGAAAAAACCGTATAATCAAATGAATACTTAAACTAATATTTAGAAATGTAAAGATTTAAGTCAGTTTTTTTAATAGAATCATTTTTTAAAAGGAAATGTAATTTAACTGTTAAAGAAAGCGAATTGGTTGGAAATCAATTTAGTGGTTTTTAAAAGATCAACGTTGCATTAAATTTATTTTAATGACCACAGCTTAAAAATAAAACTCAGATAGTCATTTTTTCTAAGATACAAAGCTGAGTTTTATTCAAATATTTTTCATTGTCATATTATGTTGCATGTGTTGTTATACCACATTTTTAGGAAAAAAGCGTTTTGTCATCTCAGGAGATGAATACATTGGAAGTGGCGGATCCCAAAGTGTGTATTCTCATCGATTTCCGGGAAAATGGATCATTTGCTTCCCAGGATTTGCCTTTTCCGAGCACTGCCCTTCGATTAACACCAAAGGAGTGGTTAGTCAGTCAACTTAATCGTCACCGCAAAGCCTTTACTTGGGTCAAAGAATCTCAAAGTGCCATCGAAGGATTGCTGCTTATGAATGTAGAACGACACAGTAAGTCTTCTCTAACTTTTCATTCATAAGTTTTATTAAAAAGTTTTTTTCCCAATACTCTATCACAGAAGAAAAATTTAAAAAAGAAGAAAAAAACATAATTTAGGTGCCTTAAACACGAAGCAAGCTTTTATTTTAAACCATTAAACCATAAATAGTATTTTGGTTGCCCAAGCATTATAATACTTCTCAAAATTATGAACCATCGATATGGATTGTTATTTTTCTTCCAAGAAGAGAAACATTAATATTAACGAATAATTCTCATTTTATACGGTTTCTTATAGGCCCAAATAATGTAAAGACGTTTTAAATAATCAAAATTTGATCACAAACGCTATTCATTTTTACAAAACTGCGGTTTTTCCTCATATCGACATTTTTCAAAAGCTTTATAATTAACATAGAGGGCACTGACTTTTGATGGAAAAAAAATTAAGTTGTTTTTTCTTATTTATGGTAATGTTGCTACCTACCATCAAATTATGTAAAAACAAAACTAAGAATTTTTTTAACATATCACATTTGTATTGTCCTTCAAAGTAGGACAACGAAATTGTTGGTTAAAAAAGGAATGTATGGATACATAATACAAAAACAGGCATGCGTCAGTGTGAAATGTGCTGTTACCACTATCGAATTATTTAAGCATAAGGAAGGTTGCAGGCTTAAAAACAAAGTTTGAAGTTTAAAAAAATATAAGGATGTATGATACAAAATACAAGCTTGTCACTGTGAAGGGTGCTTAATATTTTTATTTTTTTTATTTTAATTAGTTTAATACAAATCTTTATGATAATGTATTCATATTTGCCTGATTTCAAGTAATTCAAAAACGGAAGTAAAGAAGTTTTTTTATTAGCATTTAAGGAAAGGCCAAGCAAAATAGATTTAAAAAAATTTCAAGTTAATGCGCGGCAAGGGTGACATGCAAAACGCACTGTATATTTCTCAGAAATTTCGGCATAAACATTTATGATAATAATCTTACATGAGTCTTATATGAGAATAAAAATGAATTATACAATAATAACAACAATTTTTTTTTATCCAACTTTACAGTTTTCTTCTTCAAAGTGAGAGTTACAGGATAAGAATAATATAAAAATAAACTGCATAGTTTGCAATTTAACTGTAGGTAATATTAAGTGATTAACAAATTGGAGAATTTCAATTGTTGGTCACATGAAAAATATTCATCAAGTTCAGGAACAAAGATTTTGAGTTACAGAAATGTGAATGAAATATTTTGTGTTGTTACAGAAATATTTTGTGCTGTAGTCAGTGTTCTTTTCTATTACCTTACTTTAAATGTTTTTAAAATTAAAATTTGCTTATTTTTCTTGTTATTAGTAAAAAAAACTTTAGCTTTGTATTTTAATATCTATATTTTTCATTAACTAAATCTTATTTAAATTAATAAATTTAAAGCAAATAAAATATAATCACATAGAATTTGGAATATATATATTCCAAATTGTTAACTTTTTCTAGTTTTACGGTTAAAAATTGAAAAAAAGCATCATGCATCCTGAAACATGCACGTAATTTGTGAAGCCAATTTCAAAATAAATCAAGGAAGGTTTTCGATTGCTTTATTTATTGTTTGAGCTGTAAATGTTAAAGAAGTAATAACTACTTATGATAGAATTTATTATGATTATGATAATTTGAGATTTATGATAATTTAAGAGTCTTATTTATTTTTAAGTTATTTTCAGTTTTTTTTAGTTAGTTTTATTTTTTTTTGTTTTATTTCTTAAACTTTTTAAATATAATAATAATTTTCAAAGGTTTTTGATATTTCTTTCGGCTTTTAACCTAATCAGTAAAAGTAGCCTTAACACTTCAAGGGAAAGTACTTGAACTGAACTTTATAACTTTTTTTTAAAGTTTTTAAAGAAAATAATGTTATTTTTCTTGGGCTCTTAACCAAATGTAAATTGCAGTGGTTAAATACAAATTTTATTAAACAAGGATCTAGATTATCAAAAGTTTTATAATTTGAACTCTTTAAAACAAACACATTTAGCTATTAGACTACTTTATTATGCTTGTGTTTGAAAAAAATTTTGTTTTCAAAATTAAAAATGAGTATAATAATTTAAATTTTCAGTTTCAATTTAATAATAATTTATAGTTTTGAGATCATTTGAGCTGTAAATTAATGTTTGAACAGCTTAGAAAGTTCTCGTAAAATCCAGTAATGAGCTATTTGGTCCAAGAAATCGTTTTCACTTACCTTGTATATCAATATGATAAAAAAAAGTCATTTTTAATACACCTGAATCGAACTTTTATGATGAACTTCTCTGTATAAATACTATAACAACCATCATGCTATTAACGTGATAATTCTATCAACACCCATACTGTTAAACAATTTTTTTTAAAAATGTATCATTTATAATTTAATTTCGCCTTCTTGATTTTCTCGAATTCACGTTTATAAACCTTTATCAGATTAAATATTAATGTACTCTATGATGAAGCTTTAACTCTAATTTATGAAAATCTCAGCTACACGCAATGATAGAAAATAGTATGTTGCAATGATATTCATGTAAATTAAAGGGTTCCTAAAATCTTCTCTCTTAGTACTCGTAAATAATTTGTGAACCACTATTTTCCTAAATGTGACACACTAATACATACTAAAAATCAAATTAAATCTAATTAAGAAAGATTCTATTTTTTTTTAACTCCAAAAACGCGGTTACAGACTTCTAGGTCAACATGTATTTTCTGTGGCAATTCAAAAAACGTGAATACAGATCAGTTTTTAAGTTACGATCAGAAAATTTGAAAACTTTTTTGAAAATACTTAATTTGAAATCTATAACAATTATAAATATGAGATTAAATAAACACTATTTGAAATTGAAATTTCACGTGGGAATCAAAAGCTACAAACTACTTAATAAAAAAAATAATAACTTGCCAGGTGTGTATAAGGGCACTAATCGGGGAATATTGAAATGAAAGTTTAATGATACACAAACCAAAGTCAAAAGTGCATTAAATTTTCATTGCCTTCTTATTTCAATAGTTGAATTTTTTATTGCTTTTTCTTATTTAATTTATCCATTACGGGCCTCGGAGCATAGTCAGTTTTTGGTATTCCCTCTGACAACAGAAAGGCTCTTGTGTGTTAGCAGACAGTGCATCACCTGATGTAGTGCTGTTTTTGTTAACATACATATCTTTAGAAATTCTTCTTTTTTGCTTGATTTGTGTTTCGAACCTTCTAAATTGTTTAAATAAGGCAAATTTGGTTTTAGTTGCTTTAAGCGCTTTTCCATTTCGACGTATTATACCCTTATGAAAAAATCAAGGTATAAATGAGGTATTTTTCAAAGGTATAAAGGAGGTTGTTATATATATACGTCGTTAGGTTGAAAAGGGTGCATATACTTCAAAATTAACCTCAATTATACCTTAAATGTACCTCCAGAGGTATATATATGCATCAACCTGAGGTGTTTAATTTTACATCTGCAACGAGGTAGATGCTTACTACTTTAAAGTGCTTCATTTTCAACCTTAGGTTATTATTTATCAACCTGAAGTATATTTTTTAACATCTGTGGAAGTATTTATTCAACAACCTAGGGTTAATTTAACACTTCAGATTATTATAAATCTACCGCAGGTGTATTTTTTAATAGGTAATATTTTAATAACGTGAAGTGTATTATTTTCTACCTCAGGTAACTATTTTTCAACCTCAAGTATAGATTTTTATGCTTGTAGAGGTATTTATTTAGCAACCTATGGTTTGCCGTTTTACACTTCAGGTTATTATAAATCAATCTCAAGTATATTTTTAACCATTGAATAGCTTGATTTTTATGAACGTGAGGTGTTCGATGTTCTACTTTAGGTTGCTATTTTTCAACATCAAGTATAGATTTATATAGTTGTTGAGGTATTTATTTATCTACCTAAGGTGTGCCATTTTACACTTCTGGTTATAAATCAACCTCAAGTGTATTTTTTTGATACTTGGAAAGGTTATTTTTTATTAACGTCATGTGTTCCATGTTTTACCTTATCCGTAACCTCAAATATATATTTTTGTATTTTTAGAAGTATTAATTTATCAACCTAAGATGCGACATTTTAAGCTGTTTTTTTAATACTTACGAAGGTAATAATTCCCAAACGTGAGGTGTTATACGGTCCACCTAGTTTATTAATTTTTAACCTCACTATATAAAGTATATAATATATATAAATATATTATATATATATATTATATGAAGAATAATGTATATCATTACATTTTTTCACTAGTGGAGATCTTCATTTATCTACCTGAAGTTTTTAATATTAAACCTTCGGCAGCAATTGCAATTTTATCTGAGGAAAATGTCTAAGAGAGAACGATTTGAAATAAAACTTTTAAAAGAAGTTGATTAAAATATCTCCTATATAACTTATAATACCGAGCAGAATAAAACTAATAGACAGTTGTTCAAACATTTGTTTAAATGTTAAAACATATCCTATAGGATGATATTCAAAAAAATGCTTATAACTTTCAAACAATAAATGTTTTTATTTGCAATTGATTTTTATTTAATTCAGCATAAGAAACAATACTGACTTATTTATAAAAAATTCTGCAGTTTATTATGAGAGATTACTTTTTCTTTTTGGTATAAATTCAGAACTATTTCCCAGGGGAAGGCTGAGCAGTAGCTTGCTAGCCACTTCTTCTTCGCTGCTGCACACGTGCTATTTACAGCCTAGGTCATCTCAGCAATATCAGGGAACTACTTGTGGATAAGCTCTGTAAATATATATATATTTTAGAAAAAGAAATTGCATGTTAATCAGATTTAAAAAATGCAGTGTTATTATATATATTTCTACTCATAAGCAACAATGTAAACTTTGCATACAGATATCCAAGCAAATGATCAGCATACAGCTGTATAAGAATTTCAATGCGAAATTGCTATTTTAAAATCTTTCAATTTTCAATGATTTATTTA